CCGATGAAGATTGCCTTGGGCTCGGCGTGTCAGTCGAGTGACTCGGCGAGTTGGCAAGTTATGCAAGGAACTCGGCGAGTAGCCGAGGGTACTCGACGAGTTGAGGTCAACATGGACTGTTGACCTTGGTAGTTGACTTTGACTTTGACTTTGACCAAGGGTTGACCAATTGACTTCTGAGGGTATTTTTGGTAAATTGGATATTATAGCAAAGGACATTGGTGAATATAGGTGTTGGAGTTGGAGTTACATTTGGAGGAGTTTGACACTATCTTCCGAGCTACTTGCAATGTGAGTTACCTCACTATACTAAGGGGTCTAAGGCACCAAGGCCGGCCCATTGGATATGTTATCCTAGAAGTGTTAGATGTTGAGTATGAGTTAGTGTTGCATGCTAGTGGTTATGCCAGTAAGGTAGATCTGTAGGACTATCTGTGTTATTATATGATTAGTTGCATGCTCAGTAGTTATGTTATATGTTGATATGTTATGTGGGATGGGTCGAGGTGATACTGCTCCGTGCGGTAACCAACAAACCCGAGAGCATTCCAGATACAAGCTGAGGGAGACTCGTACTGTGGGCTCGATGGCAATCCAGATGTGAGTTGTGGGCTCGTAAGGCAATCCAGACTCACACTGTGGGCCCATGGGGTAACCCAGTCTGTAAAGTTGTGGACCCGGGATATGCGGTTATTGGTATATGTGTTATGTGCAGTGTATCGGTCTTTTGGGGAAAACACATTAAGCTTTCGGGCTTACAGTTTTAGTTTATTGTTTCAAGTACATCGGGGGATCGCGGCAAGGCGAATGCATGATCGTACAGCTCCTCATGTTTTATTTATGTTTCTGGGAAAAAGTCTGATATAGACTATTTTGAAAACAAGTCTATAATAACTATGGGTTTTAAATATTTTGAAAAGTTCAAATTTGTCTTGAAATTTTTGGGTGTTATATATATATATATATATATATATATATATATATATATATATATATATATATGAAATTCTATATTCTATTCTTTAATATATGAATATTCATTATGAATAGCGAATATGAATAGCTAAGAATTAAAATAGTATAACAGTGAATAGCAAAGATTCTAAGAGGTTATTGAATTCTTATACATATTGAATTTATGTTATGTGAGCGTGTTTAGCTCAAAGGTTAGAGCATCGTATTTGTAATGTGATGGTCATCGGTTCGATTCCGATAGTCGGATTTTCTCTATTTATTTTATTCTATGTTTTACATGATTGATAATGTATCTTTGAAATCAAAGAATATTGAAAAAAATATTTTCCTCTTTTAGCACAAACCCTTGATTTATTATATTTATTTATTTATTTATAACTTTTATTATTAAATAATTTAGTTTTTACCCTTTTTATATATTATAGATAGATTAATTTATTTTGGAATATATAATTACAATTTGTTTTCTATTTTTAACGAATTACTCCATTAAATAGATCTTATAAATATCTTCAAATACTTGTATATATTACAATGTCATGAAATTAAAAGTTCAATTAAAAAGGATATTACAATACGAATTAAGTACAAAATTACAATACAAATAAAACACTAAATAAAAACATTAATTAAGAATGTTACAAAGTTCACATCGCATTGAATCTTGGTTGAGAATTTTGATAATTTATTTTATTATGACCGGGTTCGTGGCATATTCCATATATGCAGAGGCGGAGCTTCAACATTTAATTTGAGGGGGCCGAAAATATAATATGTATAAAAATTGGTAAGCAGGGGGGGCCACAGCCAAAGTTTTATATTTTTTGGGTCTAAAATGTATAAAATGGAACTAGAAGGACTATATCAAACCAAAAAATTAGGGGGGGCCACAGCCCCCCTTGCCCTAATGAAGCTCCGCCAATGCATATATGTGAGGTTCGTCGGGGTGACGAATGTCTATCTCGTTATGAAATCGGTTTGCACGCCTCCGAACTCGATGAACATAAAGTTTCGAGTTATCTGATAATCATATAACCAATAATCAACATGAGAAAGTGGGACAAAAGCAGACGTATATTGTCATTTATACGTCACAGTGTTGAACATATTATTCATAATAGAACAAGTTGAGGCTAGCCCACTTGGCTAACAAGGTGTCTAACAAAGAGTTACTCAAAAGGTGGTTTTGGGTTCTATCCCAGGCATATACTAACCCGCCGTTCTAAAAAAACAATAGAAAAAGGGTCGTATCCTCTATAATGGCAAACTGCAATAGCATGCGAACATGGAAATCTATCCATTTGCCACATACCACATGTGCATGTTTGTTGAAAATAATAAACAAGGTGTGTATTTACTTCGGTGTCATTTAATACTAACTTTGAGACAATTTTGTAAACACCTTCATTGTAAGCTCAGTTATAATATGACTTTGTGTATGAGTTTCTCGATTAACAGAGATGCCATATACGTGATAGTAAAGGTGTATTGCAATTCATTGCAGTATCAATGTACTTTCTAGAAAGTTGTGCAGTCCTATCAAAATGTAAGATCAATACACGCCCTAATTGGTAATTATCTTGCTCCTCGCAATGCATTGTACATACTCTCAGAGATATTTGTTGTCAAGAAACCCCATCCATTATTTTCATTATATAAAAGACACCAGTGACGTCTCTTAATTTGCTTTCAATACTACCAATCTTGAAGATTGGTTTTTTTTCTTTCATATATTTAATGAACTTTCTTTTTCGTGTGGTGTTGCCAATAGCTCAACAAAGTTTTTTAAGACTCGAGTTCTTGTACCTTTGCATTAATGTGTCAAAGACATAATTAATGGTATGCTAATGGCTCTTTTCATTCCTATAGATTTTCCATTTCTTGAATTATGCCTTGGTCATTTGTTTTTTGAAATAACACATAATTGTCTTTTTTTGAAGAACAAAATGTCAGAGTTGGTAAAAGAACAACCCCAACTATGTGAAGACTCTTCATCAACGATAACATAAGCAATAGGTAGTATACTATTGTTATTATCTTTTGTGACATCAACAAACATTTTCCCTCTATATGAACCCTTCATATGACAACCATCAACTAAAGCAATAAGTCGACGTAGACGAAATGCATCAATAGTGGGTCCAAAAGCCCAACAAACATATTTGAATGTCGCTACATTAGACGGGTCATTTAGACAATGAAACCACTTCACAACCGTATTGGGATTTGAAGTTTGCTAAGTTGCAATTTACATTTCTAACATCATTCATAAAGTTTACAACCGGAGTTTCGCACACACCATCATCATTAGAATTTTCCCCAACATTACATAATGATTCACTACTAGTATATATCTTCACTATATTGTGAGTTGGGTTTCATCAAATCAAAAGTCATTGGCTCCTTAAAATGTATCATAATCAAGAAAATGAAATGCTACATTTGAAGGAATGGTATCTGATACGTCAAAATTACGAAGAAGATCGACAAAACTAGTATTTGTAGGTTGCATTATTTGTTCATGTGTAAAATTTTCAACTTTAATAAAAACCTGACCCTAATACTTTTCAACATTCTCAGCCAAATAGTACATCAAGTCTAGACTTGACTCGCTTATGACCCTTACAATATTGGATTTACTGTCATATTGATAACATAATGAGATATTCAACTTATAGGACGTTTTTTCAACTACAACATGTGCATAACATAAATCTTTAAATTCTCCATACCCTTTTTTATGCCTAACAATATTTGAAGTAGTAAATATTGAATGATCACCATTTATGATACCATTCTCATATTAAACATTACCATCCCAATATAAATTAATCATAAATCGACGATCTAGAGTCATAATGATAAATATACCAAAATCTATTGCAGAATAAATGAATATGCTACATATGATATTTCTTATTAAATATATGATAGATATATAGACAATAATACGTACCTTGTCATGGGCGAATAAAGGATGAATGAAAAAAAAAGGAAAGAACATAAGTTCAAATATTGTCAGAAAATTTATCTAACTAGAAGGGATAAAATAACCTGAATGTAAGAAACGAAATTTATAATACCAAAAGTAAACCGATTTCACAATTCATTCAATTATTTTATTTGAGTTTCCATAAATAATAACATTTGAGTGTAGAAGAGAGTTACTTTTGCAGTTAAGTTGTCATGAACAGTGACATAACCATTGTAAAAATATATTTCAAACTGTATATTTTATACATAACCAAACCAATAAAAAATGTCCTTACAAATATATTTAATCGACAAAAATCACCCATTTGAGACTATACATTAATTTCACACATTTAAGACTACACATTTTGGACATTTCAGACTAATGATTTTCTAACATTTACGACTAAACGCTAAACAAAAAAAACCGTCCTTATAAATGTTAGGATTTAGTGTTTAATTTATTTTGTAATTTTGCAATAAATTCTTATTGTAAATCATTTTTAATTGATCTTATAATTTCGTAAAGTTATAATATATTCAATATTTATATGTATTTTAAGGTATTTACAAGATCTATTTAATGGAATAATTTGTTAAAAATATAATATAAATTGTAGCTATATATTTCCAAAAATAAATCAATCTATATGTAATGTGTAAGGACGGTAAACGAAAATATATATTATTATTTGGAAAAATGACATATATGCCCTATTATGTTTCTACGGTTTACCCATTTAGTTATTTAACTTATTTTGTGGCTTTATAAAGGAACGAATTATCTGTTACCTACCAATATAATCCCTTTCACATATTGTAGCCGGTTTACATTGCCACATAAGCGTAGCCTAACATGTAAGCGATGACATGGCAATAATTCAAAGCGTCCCAATAACCGAAACGACGTCGTATTGGATGTGAATCGTAGGGAGCACGCTTCGATTGTTCAGGTGCCTCCGTATAAATTGAACACTTTGTTGCCCTAAAATGGCACATCTGCAAACTTCTTTACCCTAATCGTGTCTTTAACTTCACTCCAAAATTGGAAAATGCCTTCGCTCGCACCTACAGAACACATCTGGTCTCCAAACTACCACTGTTACATGGAGGAGAATTATTCCAATGGTGTAACCAACGAAGACATGGCCATCAATCTACTGCAAACCCAACTGAAATTGTCTCTCATACGGGAGGACTTCCAAGACCAGTTGCATGAGCTCGGACAAGGTTTTAATCGAGACTTGGATGCCATGAACCGTGAGGTCGATGACGTTCGCGCTGGTCAGTTGGATATCTCTAATATCGTTGTTGATATTAAGAATCATTTCGTTTCTCTGCAAGTATCGTATGTGAAGATGGTCTTGGAGCACAACAAACGTAAGAAAGTGAAGTATTGTATTGGGATTGTTGGTGTTATTGTTGTGGGTGTGTTTACATACATGTTCTTCAACTAAAAAAAGTTGTGTAGGTTAAAGCATTTCTATCATGGGTTTGTGTTTTGGTGTGTTATTTAAGTTGTTTAATATCGATATTAGTAATAGATATTGTGTCTGGTGCTGGTAATAGTTTGTGCTGTTGGTGCATAGAGTTGGTGGTGGTGTTGCGTGGGCTGGTGATGGTCATTGTTTTTTGATGAAGTTTTTTGTCGATGATCTTTGTAATAGGTTATGGAATAGGAAAACGTGATGTCAACAAACCCATGGCTGAAATGTTGCTTTATATATTATTATATAAAAAATTGGCTTACACATGTTTCTGTGTCTGTGCATGAATGAATGAAACATTTGGGGGTTGTATATGTTTCGATAACTTGTTCCCAGTCATGTGGATCTTCATCGCTGGGATGGGACCACAAGCCAAAGCAAATTGAATATACCTTTTTTAAGCAGATACACAGGGACCACAAATGGTGCAGTTAGGGAAAAGGGACAAAATTAAACATTAACTTTGCACACGAGGCACAATGCTCCTTGTCTATAACCCTTTTTTGGAAAAAACTTTTCTAAAGTGCACCTTTTCTTGTTTCATTTTTAGTGCATTTTTTCCTTATTCTGATTGTTAAAGGATTAATAGGCATATAACGTGCTACATGAATAGGTTAATGGATTAAGTCGCAGCTATCCTGTTACAGAAAATGACATAATTACCCCCACATCCAAAATTTTACTAATGACACAAGTCGATCCTAAATGGTTAATTTATTTATATGAAGAACATACCCATACTTGATTACATACTGTAAATGGCTAAACCACCGTAAATGACCAAAATACCCCTAATTTTTTTAAATTGGTAATGACTAAAATAACCCTGAAATCCTAACTTCTCTACAGTGGCTACAATTCTCGTATTTCTTAGTTAATCCACATAAGTAACATACGAATACCATAATAACTTAATGTAATGGAAAAGACCAAAATACCAATACCTATGTAAGTGAATCTAAAATAGCATATACTAACTTACCATACCATAAAACAACATAACAAACATCATTTCGTTTATTGCAACACACATTCAATACAAATACCAAACCATTATCTAATCCAAATCCATGGCCGTTGCACGACTGCTACCTTCACCTCCCATGTTTTTAGCAAGCTTCATTTTAATAATTCTCTCTGACTTCTTCCTTTTGTTAGGTGGTCTTACATGTTGAACTTGACGAACACGAGCATTGACCTTGACCCCTTCCGCACGTCCATTGACTCCCACCATTTTCTCTTCCTGACCAGTTGTCTCCAATGCATCCCCTGCATTAACCATTACCTCATCATCCCCACCCCCTTTTGTAATGTTCACAGACTCCTGCGTAGTTATAATTTTTTGTTTCTTTGTCCCGTTTCGTTTGGATGGCCCTATAACTTGACTACAAGTAGCTAGCCTTGTTGTGACCTTTCTCTTTGCATATGCTACAAGAAACCTTCTTCCATGCCTTTAAAATGATGTGTTTTCCAATCCATTAAGAAGCATACCTTCTTCTCTTTATGTTTGGCATGCCTGGCATACGTCGTTTCAATGGAGACAAAGGGGGTATCAAGTCAGTAGAAAGCCACATGTTTTTTCCATTCATCCCATGGATTGGTTCTTTGTAAGTATTATGGAAGAATGTAGCCAAGTATATTGGATCTACATATGTCCCATTAGGTGTGATATTTAAGTAGGATAAGGTGGCAACCGAATGTACGTAGCCATATCCGTTAAGTTGTCATAGCCTGCAATTGCATTCCTTTTTTTTCAACATGAACAATATATGCCTCGTCCATTTTCCTTGCCTCAAACTTCATTCCTCCACAAGATACAACCTGCCAATGCCTACATAGATGAAAACCCAACATATTATGAGATGTGACCAGTAAGGTATGGATGTTATTGGATAAGTGTACAGACCTTTGCTCAGTCTGGAGCATATTCAACCGTATTCTAATATTTGGACAAACAGAATAACGATTCCATCCTTGTCCGGTTAGTTTCATAGTCACCATCCTTTGCATCACATATATACGAATGTCCTCTAACATGCTTATGATTGGTTTCTTCCGGGCATCCAAAAGCACACTATTAAAGCTCTCTGAAAAACCATTCTCTATTGACTCACAAGAAGAATTGTGAACTCTGAAAAAAGCTAAAGACCAAGTCTTTGGATCTCTATCTATAAGATGCACAACTGCATCAGGATTTAACTTTTCAATCTCTTTCATAATCCATTAAAATGTGCTTCAGTTGTTGCCTTACTCGCTTTCCAAAACAAATTTTCAAACTTGGCTCCACTAAATCTCTTTCTAAAATTCGTATAGATATGTCTAGCACACTGCCTATGTTCAGCTGTTGGAAATACTTCTTTTACTGCCTCAATCAAACCATACATAAGTCATATGAATGCTTGAAATTAGAATTGCAATTACTAATTTTAGAACATGAAATATTTATGTACCATACCTTGTGTTGATCCGAAATTAGAACCAAACCTTGTCCTTCATTCCAACATTACAAATCTTCTGAAAGAGTTTCTATGAACCATTTCCAATTCTTTTTGTTTTCCACAGAAACAACCGCCCAAGGAATTGGGAATATTCCATTGTTAGCATCCCTACCAACAACACAAAGCAACTCCCCTTGGAAAAAACATTTTAGAAAACAACCATCTAGGTTAATGATCCTCCTACATCCTCCCCTCCATCCCTATTTTACTGAAGCAAAACATATGTACATCTTGCTGAAGTAATTCTTACCATCAGACATTGCATCAACACTAATTTTAACTGTCGATCCATGATTTGATCTTCTAATCTCCTCACCATATAGCCATATTCTTGCGTAATTTTCAGCTAGTGTGCCTTCAACTAGAGTCAATGCATACTTCTTGGCTCTCCTACACCGACTCATATTCACATCAATGCCAAAAGTGGTTTTTACCTCCTCTCTAAGAAATCAAACACTCATCTTTTGATTGTTATAAAATTGTTGCTTAAAGTGGGTCCCTATCCATTTGTAAGTCACAATTGATCCGAATTTGAAATTCTTTGCACAATTATGCTCACCAATAAGATACTTTATCTGGAAAGACTTATCATCAGTCATCCAAGAACCCCAAACCCTAGATATATATTTTCCATCACAACATTTGGCAAGTAAACGTCTACTATCATTCTTAACAAAACATAATTGATAACCATTCGCGACAACATAGTTACAAAGCATGTGTTTCAATTGTTTAGGACTCTCAAACCTCATACCTAACACAGGTTCCTGCTCCTTCCAACTGAGCTTATCATTGAAAGTATTTGGCAACTAGGGATAAACATCTTCATTGTCACCCATGTCTTCTTCAAAAGACTCACCTACACCTGCATTCTCACCCATGTCTACCTGAATCCCATTATCCTTTATGAAAAAATGAGGCTTCTCATGGTCATCCTTATCGTCATCGGCATCCTCATCCTCGTCGTCATCCTCGTCGCCATTCTCTTCCTCATCGTCAACGTTAGCCACATCCCGATGCCCTGTTGCAACTTCCTTAATCAGTCTTGCACCACCAAGTACCTCTTCCTCTATGTTACCAACAACCTCGTCTTTGTGTTCTTCCAACCATTCATACATGTTACTATTCCCAAAATGGTCTACATACATAAGGAGTATAACACCACATTCATATGCAATTGTTATAAAGTCGAAATAATCTGGGTCATTGCTAATTAAAGTCAAACCTTTTGGAAAACCAATATCAGGTTGGTACTAATAGAGCTTCTCACACTTTTCCCCAGTGAACCTTTCGATGAACGCAACGCACCCGTCCTTGTCCATGCCTGCGAAATCGATGTCCGAAAACCTCTGAGTAATTCCACATGTGTAGCGTATGGGGTTTCTGGCGAACATTCCTTGGAAGTGCACATCTACTCGTAAGAATACAGGTTCCATGTTTGAGGTTTCAGAAGCAGAAAACAAGAAAGGGTTTATCGATGAAGTGATGAACAGTGGAGGTAAAAGGGCTCTTTTATAAAGCATATGCCGACGGTAAGAAGGAAACGACTAATTAATGACATGACATTACACGGAAGACACAGTCAGCATCCGATGTGGTGTTACTAGAGGGAGGTGGACTAAAAATGATCGGCTGACCCCTTCACAAATGAAATAAGGACTTAATCGATCCGACAAAGTGTAATTCGTTTCCTTATAAAGCCACAAAATAAGTTAAGCGGCTAAATGGGTAAACCCTAGAAACATAATAGGGCATATATGTCATTTTCCCTTCTTATTTCAAAATAAACACTATTAGTAAAGATGGTGGCCCTAATAAAAAAGAACCTATGGAGGGAGGGGATTCAAATAATTAAGGCCTTAAGTTGTTACTTGGTTGGTAGATGCACTTAAGTGATCCCGCGCGAGAAGACTAGTCTGTTTAAAATCCTTGAGTTGTAAAGATCGATTACCTTAGGGGCTTGCATGGCTGGTCTGTTCAGCAGCTCATAACGGATTATATTTCTTTTGTGTGTCAAGGTAGCAACGGTGGTTTCCATCCAATAGTCCAACTATACAAACTAAAAGACCGACTCTTTTGTTCAATCCCAAAAATGATGGAAAGGTAAATATCAATATGAGTTAATGTTAATATTTTAAACAAGAAAATAAATATCTAGGTCAAAAGGAATTGTATAATATATAAAAGTGATACTTTATCGACACTGACAGTATATATATTGCATCGTATCTCATATCTTTTGATAGTGACATGGGTTGGGCTATTTGTGATTCTGCAAACAGTGGAAAACGTGTTCCAAGATCTGATGAATACAACCACAATGGAAATTAAAAGATAACAAAGCTTCTCTGCCACCACTTTACAGATCATTTTGATATATCAAAGATAAAGACAGTAGTACTACTCTTAATTAGCATTTCCATTTCAGGTTCCTTAGCCTGGTTAGCTATATAATTTCCATGTGACTTGTCGGCAGGAAGACTACAATCTGCTTTATATATGCACCCATCAACATGAATTTACAACCAACTAATTAATATATAGAGATGACTTGGAAAGTGTCGACATCATGAATTGAAGGAAAATCAGCCTCCCCTCCCCCAACCAACAAAAGCGAAACCACCAATTTTTCTATTCTCAGTTGAGCACACAAGTCAATTCAATCATAGAATTCACCCTATCTTACTTTATTCTATTCTTTAAATTTGCTCACTTCTAATCACCTGCAGTAACGATGAGACATAGATGACACTCGCCCAACTAAAAATATGTTACTTCTTGCCATCTTTATATGCCTATAAATATCACCATGCATTATTCAAAACACATTACCAAACAACTTAGCATTAATTAGCTAATTCAGATATAACTATTTCTGAATAAGTTCTTCCAGACCAGAAAGGCAACCCAATCAATCACAGCAATCCATCAAAATATGGATCCAAGATTCTTACAACATGTTATGGGAATTCCAATTAGATCATCAACAAAGGGACTACTATCAACTGAACCTTATCAACCCCATTGCCCTCTTTCTACTACTTCTTCCAAGATCAATGGCATAGAGAGAAAAGACAGTTTTGCAGTCTGGATTAAAGATTATGGTAAAGTTTATTTCTCTAAACTTGTAATAATAAACAACTCAAGTTCTCTCTATCTATGAATCATTAAATATCATTATTTTCTTGTATGCAGTTAGTTTAGGACCCAAACTAATCGAAATCATGAAAGACAAGTTGAATCATGGTGCCAAAATCTTCCAATTTGGGAGCCAACGCAAACCATTTAGGAAGCGCTTCAGCATCAAAGAAGAAGAGAAACTGTTGCAGGCTTCTCAATGCTGTTTGTACACTACAGCAGGTGCCATTGCAGGTGTGCTGTTTGTGTCTACAGAAAGGGTTGCCTTTTGCAGTGATAGGACCATCATAACGTATTCTAGGACAGGCGAGCTAGTAAAGTTCCAATATAAGGTATGTAGGAGGGGATTCGATCGGAAGTACTTTCCTCTCATGCATGCAATTCTCAGATTTTGAATTATTTCATGACCTTTAAATTGTTCTGTGTAGGTTTCTATCCCACTAGGAAAAATTAAAGGAGTTGAAAAGAGCGTGAACATGAAGAGAACATGGAGCAACTGCGTGGAGATAGTAACGATTGATGATTTCAACTTCTGGTTGGGTTTGATAAATTATAAGAAAATATTAAGATACCTTCATCATGCAACTAGTCACGATTGCTTATGCAAATTAAGTTGATGATTCCATGTATATTTCGAATGCAAATAGTCCTTTAGTCATAGTTTATTTGATTGTTTCCACGCTTTCGTTGCACAACCACTTTAATTCTCTTAATTATCAGAAAAAATATGTATATATGTTGATATAGGGTTTCAATGTCTCGTCTTCCCTAACTTTAAGGTTAAAGACCACTAACTGGTTGTCACTACAAGAAAATAACTTTAATTTCAAGACAACTAACAGTCTATACCGGCATCAGAGCATCGTTAAAGCTTTTCTAAAACATTTTGACGATAAGTCGTCGGAAACTTTTGCCTCCCAATTCCGTTGACTGGAATTTTGGAAACCATTTTGTGGTTAAAAAAAGTTGTTCGGGTGTTGAATAAAAAAATATGAAACTATGTGTTGAATAAAAAAATATGATAACTGGAAACCTTTTAGGGTAGATTTTGGAAAAATAAATACTAAAATTTGGGTAAATCAGAAAAAAAAATATTATTTCGATTGTTAATCCAAAAAAAAAAAAAAAAAAATCAAATTACACTTGTTTTTATAGAATTGACATATGTTTAAAATGATGTTTTTTAGTTAATATTTTTATTTATGGTTATTTTGTTAATATTTTTGGACAATCGTTGTTTGGGCATGTACTTTAGCGACGATAGTGTCGTTGTATCCTTCAACGTCCTAGAAACAAATTGCAACATCCTTCGTCTTTATTAGGTCATTGGGTATATCCACAACACCGTCACATCAAAAATCAAAAATGGTATTGCATCAACATCATTTCATCACCACACTTAAACCAGACCATTAGGCCATGGGTCATGGACCTCACGACAGACGTTCATGGCCATGTGACAAGTTGTCAGCCACCCGTGGCGAGTTTAGAACGTAAAACCATATAATTCACTATTTAAGTTAAACCGATTATTAAAGAAAATAAACAAAAAATTATTAGTTGCGGGTTTGAATCGGGTCGAGTCGTACAATTAAAAAAAAGATTTAAAGTTCTTACAATTGTATGCAACTACGTCTTATATATTGATATATTTTTATAATTGTATGATTACTAATATTTTCTAAAACATTTTTTTTCAATATATGACACCATACTATATATCACTTAAAATTTGATCACTAGTTTTGCTTATTGTAATAACGCTTAAACAATTTTCAACAATATTCCTTTCCACCATAAAAATAGATAGATAAAATGGGAAGATTGTCATATTTCATCTTGGTAATTGTGTGACTATTGAAAGAAATCTCTCTAAAAACTTTTTTTTATTAGAAAGATAGAAACAGACCATGTCGAAGATGTAATAAATTCCTTTGCGAAAAAAAAATAACGAAAAAGTTTAGATATAATGATGTATTGGTATTCTTTTCCTTCTGCTTTATTTAATTATTTGTTATTCATTTTAAAAAAAATCCATGTATTTGTATATTTGTTTCTTTTAATCTGGCCCAGCGTGCACAAAAAAACCGGTTCGGGAACCGAACCGCCTCATAAACCGGTAAACCGGTTTGACGTGAACTGATTCAAGAAGAACCGATCCGGTTTGAGAACCGAATCTCCGGTTTGGACAGGTTCGAGATTATAGATGTTGGAACCGGTTTAGAACCGGTTTAGTGGGAACCGGTTTAGAACCGTCATCATCACAGCTCCTTATCGCCATCGAACACCACCATCATCACCTAGCTTCACCATCTCCACCGGAATCATCGCCATAAACCACCACTGCTATTGCAGCTTCTCCGAGCCACCACCTCCCGTGTTTGCTTTCATCGGGCAAAGGAACTCCAAAAGCAAAATACTAGAGAAAGGAACTCGATATATATATATATATATATATATATATATATATATATATATTACTATTTGTTCTGCTGGAAAGTTACTTCAAATATATATTAATATATATATGTATTGCATGATGGACAGAGGCATGACTACTAAAAAACAAATGCATGATCGACACATGCGTGTACTTTTATGCATACAGACTTTTTTCTTTTTTATCCTTTCTTACTGTGAAACTCTATTTTCTGCAGGAAAGCAACTCCTTTTTTGCTGTCCATTTTAAATTAAATCAACAAAATAAAGAAAGAAACAAAAAAGTCCAATGAACCGGTTTGAAGAACCGGTTTTCTCCTGAACCGGTTTTCGAGGAACCGAACGGGTCTATAAAGTTCATATATTTTTATTGAAGAACCGGTTTATCCTTGAACCGGTGTTGACCATATTGACTTGAACCGAACCAGTTTTAAGAACCGAACCGGTTTGAAAAAAAAAACCGGTTTGTACACCACTAAATCTGGGCGTAGTATACAATGTTTCTAACGTAGTGGGTTCCTTTCCTTTTGTTTCTATAAATGGGCCTAGCTCAATTTGGATGGACATTGTTTTTCTTGGGTTTGGATTTAAACTTGTATCTTACTAACACAATAATATGAAATTGACAAAGGAACCATATCCGTGATAGGTTAGATCAATTTCTAATATCTTGATTTGAAACGATAGTTATTTTTTTAAGAATAAGATGGTCAAGACTTTAAAATTTTGTTTCTCATGATGATAATCTATATCTATATTTATATATAAAAGGGTTAATATTGTAAGCGTGTAATAAACTTTTTGCTTTTTTATTATAAATACGTTATTGTTTTAGAAAAAAATTAATTGGTAGACACACATAGAATTCTTTATTTTAGTGATACCCAATTAACAAAATATTGAAGTTGCTAGTCTTATAACTCTATTTTTTTTAAACAATTGTATGGTAAATAGACAAATAATTCGTTGTCTATTTATAACATTAACGTAAAGATAAGGTGTTTGTCTAGCATTATTTATTATACATTTATTAAACTTTTTTATATTAATAATTTTATAATATATTAATTATAATTTGTTATTTTATTAAAGTTTGATGCACATGTTTTTTTTTATTTTAATATAATTAGTTACATGTTATATTTTGATTATGTGTTTCTTAGGATAGAAAATATTCAATTTTCATTTTGAATAGAAAATATGGCTTTTTTTTAACTCAATTATAAAAAGTTTTGATGTTTCTTTTAATTGTTTTCTAATTCAAATGGTATATATCTTATAAAGGCCTGACATATATCCTGCTAAAACTGTAAACGTTGCCTTTAATCGAAACAACATTTATCATTTTTAATAACAAAAAAATAATTACATTAGAAAACGGATGTAATTATAATAGTTCTTGATGTGATGTTTTTTCATGTTATAGCAAGTGAAAATGTTAATTACATGTCTTAGTATGTAGATACAACAATATAACATATATTAGGTTTAGATTGGAATGCATTAAGATTATTGTTTAAAAGTATTATTTAATAATAATTTAATTTTTTATTTACAGAAAAGTGAAAACACATAAACAAAAAATGACAAATATAATACTTCAGTAAACTCAGTAAATGCCCCGGCAGATGATGAAAATACACATCAAACAAACTTACAAAATCGATCAATTAATAGATAAAAAACACACATCGATCTAAAATCTATGAATATATGAAGAGATGAAAACACACATCTAACAATGTCAAGACCGAGCGATAGATAAACCACACATCCAACAAACAAAAATTCCTCTTCCGACGATGTCCGCAGCATTACGTTTGTTTTTTTTACAATATTATTTTCTTGAAAACTAAGAAAGCCTAAACAAAAGTGAGATTCATAAGAATAAAAAATATTGTGAGGATTCATAAGAAGAATGGCTGTATATATGCATGCAAGTTGGTCCCTCATATCAACCAAAATAATCTGCAGAGGAGCAACTTCCATCTTGGAAGTGATGGAAATACCTGTCGTCTCTCACTGTGATCAACCTTTTTTTGACTTTTGAGATTAATTTCATAAAAGAGTGGCAATCATCACACATCTTCCCCGAGGCCTTTATGATAAAGATTGGTGCCATGTCATGTGCATTCAATAGGGCATAAGCTACTGCAAGCTTCTCGCTGTGATAACCATCACATTCACATGAGTCTTCCACAACATTACCAGCATCTGCTTTAATACTAGCAAACAAAGACTTGATTATTTTATGATGCTTAGCAAATTCTGGGTCACCACTGACAAGCGAAACAAACTTATGTGTTTGCCTCTTAACCTCAACCCAGCTCAGCTCGGGTTCTTTTTTTCTATCCCTAACTATTTTCGTCAATTCAGTGAGGTTTGCAGCTCCAAAACTTTGTAAAGCTTCTCTCTCATCAGCCAACCATTCATCAGGGACCAAATCTGCAAGTGGAGTAAGCATATTGTTTTTATCAACATTAGGAGCATTGAGCATGATCTTCCAAGCATAGGAATCAAATTTGATTAATGGTGTTGATGCCATGAAATTAAAAGCTTCATCTGGTTGTCCAAGCACTAAATCAGGTTCGATGCCCCTTCTGTTTCATTAACTCATAAAAATAGTAGAACCCTTCTTCCACAAGCCCCAACTGTCCACAGGCACTAAGAACAGCAACAAAAGTTGCATAAGTAGGATCTAATTCCCCTGATTCCAACATTTCTTGAAACAAAGCCAACGACTCGTTTCCAAAACCATGAAGGCAGTATCCACATATCATCATATCCCAGGTTCTGATATCATCAGTCGTCATACTAAAAAACATTTTTTCCGCAGCTTTAATGTCGCCAGTCCTTAGGTACATGCTGATCAAGGCATCCTGGACTTTCTTATGACCCTTGAATCCAGTCTTCTCTGCAAATGCATGGAATAAATTTCCCAAACTCATAGAGAATAATTGAGCACTAGCATCGAGTATTACACAAAAGGTAGATTCGTCTGGAACAACATTGTCATGTTGCATTTTCGAAAATAATTTTATTGAAGCCTCAAAGAACTCATAATCTGAGGAACCATGCATCATTGTTGTCCATGAAACCACGTCTCGAGCTTTATACGCGCGTAAAACATTCAGAGCATCTCCAACATTTCCACAGTTCCGATACATCTTGACCATTGCAATTACATACAGACACATCAAGCTCGACATCACTCTTTAGCAGCTTGTTGTGAACTTGATTCCCCAATTCCGAATATTGAAGGCGAGCACAAAGACCAAACATACTTATATAAGTAGTTTTGTTCCACACCATGTGATCATCAGCCATCATTTTCCTTATGATATTCAATGCCTCATCCAAGAAACCTTTTTCAACCATGAACATATTATATGTGGAGGTATCCGTTTGAGGGATAGAAACTAAAACCTCCACAGCCCCTACCACATCCGACAACATGCGATACAAGTGTACAAGTGGAGTTTTCACGTACGGATGACACTCTAATCCAGATTTCAATAAATACCCATGCCACTGTCTGCCTAAAAAAACGTCCTCAACTATTATACAAGACGTAAGCACGAGTGCAGATTTATAGTGGTTAAGGCGGAAATCCCGATCAAGCTTTGAAACCCATTTTGATTTATATGTTCTAAGAAAACGAAAAGCAAGCCCCTTTGGGAACTTCCCCGAAATTAGGTCGTCACTCCACGAAACTACGTTTTGTTTATTCATTTGATCAAAATCACGGCGTGCAGACATCAGTGCTTTAAATTTTGATAAAATATAGAACACACCATTAGTGCCGTACTGATCATTAGACACAATCGAACGAGCGTGGATTACTTTGCCCATCTCAAGTTTCTTAGTCCCGCAGTAGTTTAGAAGCTTATCATCGTCCTGTAGAAGACGCGTAGGGAAATGCGTGGGACGAATCAGGGAAGACATTACTCTATTTCCACCTTTGTTCACTGATTCCCCTTAAAATACTCCTTGTTAAATACTGAAATCAAAAGTGACATAGATTAGATATTGACGTTTGGTTCGCATATAATGTTGTAGAAGGAATTGAAATTTATCATGGAATTGGAAATAGGGTTTTCATATGTTGTTTTAAAATAAAAAGGGATAAAATGGTAATCTTGTACTTTTCTTCACGAGTTGAAATTTAATTCCTTCCTCTTCGTGCTCATCTCACTTAGAATTTCAATTCATTCTCAAAAGTTGAACCAAACATGAAAAAGTGATGTAATTTGATTCCAATTCCTCTTAATTCCATAGGATTCCTACCAAAAACAGCCCATGAGAGTTTAGGTTAGTCATTGTTGTTTATTAGGAAAATGTATCAAATTAGGATCTACTTAGCTTTATTATGATTCAGTTTCTTATATCAAAACAGCCACATAATAAAAATAATTATCGTAAATACGAAAATCATCCCTACATAATGCCTAAAAACGAAGGAGAGCACATAAGGTTGTATTTATTAGGGTAAAAGTCGATCTTTACAGCCAGTTAATACAGAAAAAAATAAATAAATAAAGCACACTAAAGCTTTTACACCACTATAAACCATTTACCTAAAAATTCCAAAGGCAAGAAACAATACTAGAGAAGGATCTGATCTTTACAGCCAGTAAATCCAAAAGAATTGCAAAAGCTCGCTCTCGAAAGTGCTTATAGATGAGAACAGAAGTAACTGGGGGCATTAGCAGGATTATGTTGAACTTTTGCTGGCAAACACACGAGTACAAATAGTCGTCGCTACATTGAGAGGTGAAAAAAAGAGTATAATGAGGATGAAGAAGAGTTTTAGAGATAATACCTGAAACGTCGGTTTAGGGAATGCCCTCATTATATTTGATTGTGTGCCAAGTCTTGATCCTTGAATCTTGATAACTATTGCTATATATTGAGTATTGAGTGATAGATTTCGTTAAAGGAAAACATTTTATTTAAATCAAAGCTTGAGTTAGCCATAACGACATAACTATGGTATGTGGATTATTTTCTAATTTGTGTTGCAACTTGCAAGTGATATTTGAATGAGAAAAAGACTAAAAAACTACATCCCTTAAAGATTTTCCACGAATTTAGTAAAAATCAAAGCATATTCCAAAAATAGCCACCAATTTGGCATCAAAACTACGTCAAAAAAAATGGCAAGTTTGACCTGCAAAATAACAAAAACATAATTTTGAAATTTTATAGTAGGAATCTTGAAAGATCATTTTCAAAGGAAGAAAAGTTTTATGTTGTAATTTTGACATGGGGAAATGCAAATAAATAATACTCGTAGAGACTTTTGTAGTATGACCTTCAAAGTCCTCTACGATTTTTTTGAGTAAAAAATCTTAGGGTTTTTTTCCGAAAAAAAATGTTAATTTTTAAGTTTTGTGTATTAGGAATCGTGAGATATCATATTCAAAGAAAATATTGCTACAATAAATTGTTAGATTGAGAGGATTTTACCAAAAAAAAAAAAAAAAACAAATATGGTGCAAAAATAAGAGGGAAAATGCCTTACGGCTTACACATGATATTTGTTTGGATGGATCGGTTCGATCCGATCCAATCAAATGAATCTAAATTGATTTCGGTTTTCAAAATATGAATCCGAATAGTCAAAACTAAACAAATCTGATCCGATTCAACAAAATGTCATTTCGGTTGGATCGATTTTTATAATTCGGTTTCCAAAAATCGAAATATTCTAAAACCATATATAACTAGTGTCATACCCATCCGGTGGACGGTTTGACCGATATGATAACAATAGATTGATTTTATTTTCTTCTATATCATCATTCTTTCATTTGTTTCGATATTAGCATTATACGATGAAATATCTACCCACTTATATTACATATGAATGAACAAAAGAATAGTAATCGATTAAAACACAATCAAATGAAATCAAGTTCAAAAAAAATATTACAACAAAGGTTAAAGCTATTGTTTTATTACATCCCAAATTCATTATTATATTGTTTATTGTCGTAAATGTTTTAACAAAGTATTTTGTATTTTACCAGATAAATGCTTTAACCGGAGACATAAATAAAAGACCAAATAAATAATACAACACCTGATGAAAACGATATCAAACTAAACTGATGCAAAACTTCATTTCTTATTTATGTTGTGACACACTAAAAATAGCAACGTACTTTCTATGTATTATAGTTTTTGTGACTCGATGAGAATAGCAATGAATTTTTTTTGACTCACCGGAAAAAAATACTTTCAAAAATAACTCGCTAAAAATATCATAAGGACCAAAATACCCTTTCATCTCAGAATCGGTTTCACTATCATCCCCAGCCAACCCATTTTTTTGGCCTAATTATTCTTTTAAGTTTAATTGATCTAGTCTTGTACTAAACATTCATATCTCTTTTTCTTTATACAGTCTGACGAGAAGATCGAGTTTATAGGAACACCTAACAAAAAAATCAAGAAAGTTGCAGCTTTTCATCCAAAAATGACACAAAAACATGTGGATGCCATCATCAATCATTCGGTTGTTTCAAAATTAATTTTCATAAAAAAAAACCAAAATTTCCCTTGCTTTTTAACCCCGAATCAAAGTAAAAATTAGGCTTCTCATCTCTAAGATCTTATTTTCTATTTATTTTTTATCAGACACCATAACATTTTGAATGGACCAAAATACCTTCATTCTTATTGAACCACCTTTTGCACCTAAAGAACTCAAATGATTGATTTGTTAGCAGATCCAAATCCTATGACTTATCAAAAATCAAAACCCACTTCCAATTTCATAATTCGTGAATAAACATATAACATAAAACTATCAAGTTTACCTAAAACTCAATCTAATTTATGACATTGTGTATCTTTACATGTATCTCCAAACCTCACAACCAATCTAGAAAACACTTCAAGTTCCTCTCTACAAAAACCAATAATAAGAACATAAAACATATATTTTTTTAAAAAAAAATGAAGAGTTAGAAATGAAAGTTAAATGCTGTAATTAGACAAAAAAAAGTACATTACTATTTCTTGCATCTCGCCCGATCAAGGATAAATGCAAGATATAACAATGTACTTCAGTACTTCCACTTGTTTGTCAAATATAACATCACACTTTCATTTTTAACTCATATTTCAAAAAAAATATATATGTTTTTTCTTATTATACCATTGTACTTTCAAAGTACAATGCTTAAATAAGAAAATAAAACAAAAATTCAAAAAATTGAAGAATTAGAAATGAAAGTTAAATGTTATAATTAGACAAACAAATAAAAGCACATTTCATCAAGCAACTTACATTTTTCATCAACTGATACCAAACTGATCGGGTCACTCACCAATTCATGAAGCCTCGAACACATTAATGTCGCATTCTGATCTTCACGACAGGAATCGAAAACCAACTGATAAGATTCTGGTCTCCAATCGGAATCAGAATCGGGGACATGTAACTTACTGTCCCAACCTGAAAATGTATATATAAAAACAGGGTTAATGTCATATATATATATATATATATATATATATATATATATATATATATATATTAAAATGAAATAATAATTAATTATTATGCTCTAAACGAATGGCTAATGTTTAAATTAATCTCAAACAAACACCGATATCTTGAGAAAAATATCTAGAATTGTTTCTTTAAGCTCTTTTGACTACCTGAATGAAGTGAAAAGATGAATATTTATCACTTGGATTCATACCCTCTTTGGTATAGCAATTAAATACAAACATATTTGTTGGGAAATTTAGGGTTTGTGGTGGAGATCTGGATACCAACTTGGATCGTGATATCACTTTCCGAACTGATATTTCTACCCTATGTCTGGGTTACAAGAAATTCAGCCTAGGATAATCCAACTGGACACTTACGTTTCTAGGCACAAAAGACGTAAGCCAATATGGTAGAGGATTCTGTGAAAGTTTGATCAAAACGAGAGCTTAAGATCGTAACCCTCTTCTGAAAAGAAGAGTCGTTTATATAATAAACGATATTAGGGTTTCATTAGGTTGGGTCGTCATTAGTTGCTTTGGAAGCAAGTAATATTAATCCGGATTTAATGAGGATTTAGGGTTACCAAAACTAACGAGTTTCGTTAGTTTTACCATAAACACCCTCAAGAAATTGAATTTTCCACTATGGTCCCATAAGAAATTGATATTAGGGTTTCATTAGCGGGACCCCAGCCAGGGGCTCTGCCCCTTGGACCCCGCTAGGGGCGCTGCCTCTAGACCCCGCCAAAGGGGCGCTGCCGCTTTGGAAACCCCAGACCCGGGGGCGCTGCCCCCGGACCCTCGACTAGTCGTCGAACCGGCTTCTGATTCGATCTTATACATGCGTGCACTCCGCACAACCCCGTACATATATTAGAGTACAAATCATGAAGCCCCTTAGCTCATATGGTTGTTCCAGTTACTTAAAATGACATGGTGACACTAAAATCACCAACAATCCTCCCCCATTTTAGTGTAACCCTTGAACAAACATAACCTTATCAAACAAACCAAACTAGTACATAATGAAAATATCGAAACGATTGAATTTCCACTTAGTATCATACATTTGCAAATACTCGAGAATCAGGGTGTTCTAAGAATTGAACCCATCAACCCATTTGAATACCAGAAAGTAAAACACATACTAGTTCATTGAATTTCTAGCATAATACAACTTGACACTATTATAAAGTCGTGTGTCCCAATCCTCTCATGATCGTATCAAGGTCAAGTCCACAACCTCTTGAAATGCGGCTACACTTCACAATCACGTAGGTAACTCCTTTCCATGTATCTGCACATACATTTATCGAAGGAATTATTAAGAAGTTAAACTTCAACCTGGCTAACATGCAGAACTGAACACATACCTGGGATGAATAATTCATGTGTTCCAATCTATAAGTATGAGCTTTCCACATTGAATTCAACTCCTA